AAAAAAAAAAAAAAAAAAGAAAAGAAAGAAGAAAAAGATATCGAGACTATCGGGAAATGCTAATTAAATCGCCGTGACGATTTTAATTCATAAACTGAAGCTAAAGTGACACAGACGGTCGGAAATTTTAATCAATCTTCATCCTAGAAATTGCGGCAAGTCGATATTGAAATAAAATGTTACCAGAGAAGCTGAGAATTATTTTAGAAAATTAAGGATATCTTGTATGGCGCTTATATTTCCGGAAACTGCCGTGTACACATTTTGAACTGAAAATTAAAAGAAAGATCGAGAGACAAAAGAGAGGAAGAGTGTGGCAAGTGCAACGAGTGGATCAAGCCGGCTAACGAATCGCTGTGTGTAGACACTGCAAACAGAACTATCTCTCTACGAGAGAGGATGAGCGAGAGGAAGCCCCAGTAAAGTGAGAATTTGTATTTGCTCGAGGCTAGTCCGTAGAGACATGACACGTTCGCCTCGCAACGTCGCTCGTTATCCCGATTTCCAAATTCCGATTTCGCGCCGCGTGTTGTGCTGGAGATTGGTGAACTTTGGAAAAATTTCGTTCAACATACGTCGAGTTGAAACGAGAATATTTAGTAGAGACTAGTTGTAAGTCGTCGGGTGTCGCTTTCTTCAGAATATTTTCGAAAATTTCGAACGATACTCGACAGAGAGCTGTCGCGCGGACTTTTTACAGTGAGGCGTATCTAACTTTTTATTTTGAATCAATTAAATTCACAGTTCCATGAACCGTGTATAAATCGCGCGTACAAATCTGTGAAGTAAAGTTCAACAGAACAGAGTCACGTAACATTAAATTTCTGAACTGAATTCTCGCCGAATTCAAAGCGAGTAATTATCGAGTTCTTAAAATTGATTTTGATGAAGTGAAACGAGGACGATCACGATTCCCTTCGTGAACCAAACCACCGTGGAACAGAACGTCGTTAATCTCACGGGATTTCTGGAGGAACGTTTGAGTATCGTTCAAACGTTGCCGCTCAAGTATCGTTTAGTGGAGACTCGGCACGATTACGAGAAAGTGGCGTTAAGATGAAACGAAGACACTTGTGAGAGCCAGTTTCTGCGGCCGAGGGATATTATTGCGGAGGAAAATGTTAAAGTGGATAAAAGTTCGCCAGAACACGTCGGCGAACACGCCGACGCCGCTCGATCACGGGAAGAAGGACGAGATGGTCGTGGCAAAGGTCGAAGCTGTAGAAGCGGCAAGAGAAGATGAGGAAGACAGCGGTATGGAGAGAGAGGACACACCGTCCAACATCGAGTTGAACCATCTACGAAAAGTAATGGCACGAA